TGGATTTCTTGATGGTGGTTTTTGGAACCCAAGTGTTGCTTTTGCTGGGTAATGGTCCGTTGATATTCGCTCCTCGGATCGATCGAACGTCTAATATACTGGACGAATGCCTTCCGTCTATCACAACATGGTCAATTTGATTTCTCGTTGCTTGATCAGGAGAAATCCAGGTGGCCTTGTGTATATCGAGCTGCTTGAATTTGGTGTTTGCTGCCGCGAAGTTTATCAACCTCATGCCGTTGTCGGATGTTTCTTCGTGGAGGCTGAATTTTTCGACAGTGGGACCAAAAATTGTTTCCCCTCCGATTTTTGCATTAAAATCTCCTAGCAGAATTTTAATGTCATAGCCAGGACAGCGATCGTATGATGTTTTTAGGCGCTCGTAAAATATGTCTTTTGGTCCGCTCATCTCTTCGGTCGGAGCATGGACGCAAATAAGACTGATGAAGAAGAACTTCGCTTTTATTCGAATTATAGCAATTCGCTCATCTACTGGGGTGAATCTGGAGACGAGGTCTTTTATTCTCCTATTAACCATAAATCCGCAGCCAAATTCGCGTTTCGTTTCATGGCAGCTATAATACAGGGCGTAATCATCTGATTTACTTACGCCTGTCCCTTTCCATCGCATTTCCTGTAAGGCAATAATATCGGCTTTGTACTTCTTGAGTACATCCGCCAAAGCGAAAACTGCGCATGTTCTGTACAAGGTGCGCATATGCCAAGTACAGATTCGCAGATCGTGGTCGTCAACATTAGGGGGGTTTGGTTTTCTTTTTTTTTTTTTGCTTTTTCATAGTAGGAGGAGTTTTCAGAGTGTGGTCAACTAACCTGACGCCTCAACCCATTTTTTTTATAGTTCTTATGGGTGAACTCGCGGCACATATCAGCTCACCCCAGGTGGCACCGCGTGGAGGTCAGTGTCCACAATTGAAATGAAAGAGGGACCAAGATAAGCCTGGACTTCGCCATGTTAAAGCCAATCAGAGCCGTTGCTTGGTATCTATCAACCCCGTATTGAAAAAAAATTAAAAATCCATGCCTCAAAAAATATTTTTAAAAATATTTCCCCCATTTTTATCCCACATGTACCTCAAGGCAACCCCTTTTATCTTTATAAAAAATATATATACCTACATATCTATGTATGCACGATATTTAATGTTTATTTTTTGTTTGTATTGTTGTTGTTACTTTATTATTATTTTTTCTTCGTATTTTTAATTTTATTTGTAAATCACGGGAGATCACCTGGGGTGAGATTATTGGGTACAGAGTACAGAGACATTAACACACCAGACAGCCACCAGGCGCAAGCGACGTCATAGTCCAAGTGGTAGTCCCACACACACACATACATAAACAATTAAAGTGACCACCAGTATTGAGCTGCTCAAATAGTTGGATTTCAGCAGCGTTTATTTTTTCAGTCTCTCTCTCTCCCTCTCTCTTCCCAATTCAGCTGAATACCACGGTGACACAATTCAGCCACAGCCGGCTTAAATTCAGAGAAACAAAAGCCCTAACCATAGACTACTGAGGCTTGTAACACCTAACCCGGTGTGGTCACTAATATAAAAGCCGGCTAGATTCTGAACCTGAAGTTAGTTGTCTTTGGTGTTAGCAGCTTTGAAACCAAAACAAAAAAAAAGTATTTTTTGGAATTACTTGAAAAAAATACCAAAAAAAACTTGTAAGTTGATTTTTTGCCAAAAAAGAAAAAATTAACTGAAATAATTTTCAATTTGTGGTTAAGTGTTAACGAGTGTGTCCATGTGTGCAATTTGTGAGCTTGTAAAGATTTCGCAAAATACAAAAAATATTACAAAATATTTAATAAACAAAGAAGAAGCAAAAAATATTTTTTTGCACAAAAGTGGTGTTTGGAAGAAATCATTGGAAATCGAAGGTGTTGCAAAAAATTTTAGTTGGGATACAATTTTGAAAAAAAATGTCGAAATTTTGTGTGTCGGAAAAATAATAGTTTCACAACTATAGTTGAGTTCTCTGTGGGGATTTTCGAAAATCTCCAGGATAAATACAAATATAGGGATATATAAATCAATAAAAAATAGTCTATATAAAATAATTTTTATAGCGAGTTTAGATCTTCCCGAAACCCACATTTTCTCAAAATTCGCAAATTTACCGATCAAATCCATTTTTTTTGGAATTTTGTGGGGATTTTGATAAATTACCGGGGAAAATAAAAATATGGGAATCTGAAAGGTTAGACAATAATGCATCAACCAATTAAGGTTTTTGAAATATAAATTTTTATTATTAAAAAAAATACACCATTTGGAGATCATCACCATAAGGAGATCATAATCCCCGTGGGGATTTTACAAAATCTCCAGGATAAAATAAAAATATAGAAGACAAATTAAAACTTAAAACTTTAAGAAGTTTTTACATTCATCCAAAAAATGAGTGAAAAACAAAATAAAAAAAATCTGAATTTTAAAAATCAGGACTTTAAAAAAATCTCAGAATAGCCTCCAAAATTTGGATATTTTAAGGGCTTTCCATCTTATCAAATAAATTGGACTAATATTGGGGGTTGTCATATGGTAGTAAATCCTCCTACAAAAAATCATCGATATTTCTTCACTTTTTGTTATAGCCTCCATATAACCCTACCTTCCGAATTGTTCAAAATTTTTAACCAAATAATTTGTAATTTGACATTTTAAGTTCTCATTGTATGACAAATCTTCCTACCAGAAATCAAAAATATTGCTTCGCTATTTAGTCTAGCCTCCATATAACCCTACCTACCGAATTTCGGAATTTTTAGGATCTGGGTATGTTTTTAAATTGAAATTGCTTTAATTGTGTATTTTGAGTTCTAATAGGCTGCCAAATCCTCCTACCAAAAATAATCAAAATTGGTCAACGTATTGGTGTAGCCCCCATATAACGATACTCTCCGATATTCGGTAATTTGAGGTTCTTGGGTACGTTTTTTTAACCAAATTGCCTAAAATTTAGTTGTTTGGGTTCTCGTTGGGTAATTAATGTCCCCCCGAAAAATTATTTAAATCAGTCAACCTTTTGGTATGGCCCCCAAATAACGATATCCTCCAACATTCGGAATTTGAAGGTTTTTGGACACCTTTTACAAGCGAATTGGTTGTAATTTTGTATTATGGGTTTTCATTGGGGTGAAAATCTCCTAATCAAAAATTACGAATATTTGTCAATTTTTTGGTATTGTCCCCATATAACGCTACCTTCAAAATTTCGGTATTTTGAGGATCTTGAACACAGTTTTCAACTTAATTGACTGTAATTTAGTATTATCGATTCTCATAGGCTAGTAAACCTTCATACCAAAAATTATCTGTATTGGTTTACTTTTTAAGGTAGCCCCCATATAACCTAACCCCATAAAATGCCGAATTTTGAGGATCTTGGACATGTTTTTCAACAGAATTGGCTGTAATTTGGTATTTTAGATTCGCATAGGGTAGTAAACCTTCATACAAAAAATTGTCCGTATTGGTTTACTTTTTAGGGTGGCCCCCATATAACCGAACCCCCTACAATTCGGAATTTTGAGGATCTTGGACACGTTTTTCAACCGTATTTCCTATAATTTGGTATTTTGTGTTCTCATTGAGTAGTAAACCTCTCTACCAAAAATCAAAAATTTAGGTTCAATTTCTAAGGTAGCCCCCATATAACCGAACCCCCGAAAATTCGGAATTTTAAAGATCTTGGACACGTTTTTAAACCAAATTGCTTATAATTTGCTATTTTGAGTTCTCAGTAAATGTCAAATCATCCTACCAAAAATAATCAATATCGGTCCACTTTTTGGTGTAACCTCCACATAACCGAACCCCCTAATATTCGTAATTTAGAGAATTTTGAGCACGATTTTCAACCGAATTGGCTGTAATTTGATATTTTCGATACTCATTAGGTGCCAAACTCTTCCAAACAAAAATGGTCAATATCGATGCACGTTTTGGTATAACCTCCATATAAATATACCCTCCGATATTCGGAATTTGAAGGATCTTGGGGACATTTTTCAACCGAATAGGCTGTAATTTGGTATTATTGATTCTTATTGGTTAGTAAGCCTTCCTACTAAAAAATGTCTATATTGGTCCACTTTTAAGAGTTACCCTCATATTACCGAACCTCCTAAAATTCGGAATTTTGAGAATTTGGGCACGTTATTAAAGCCAATCCGCTGAAATTTGGTATTTCGGCATCTCACTGGGTACTAAAGTGTCATTTTTTCAAAGATCTCAAATTTTCTTTCGGTAAAAACAATCGCCAATTTCTAATTCTTGCTTTTATAGAGGTATTCATTAGGCCGAGCACCCACTGTGGCACCCCAAACAAAAGTAAAATTTGACCTATATTTTCTCTCCTTTGTAAAAAGTCGTTCGTCGTTTTAACCGCTTCTTTGGTCTCTTTGCACCAAAACTGCTGCCTTACCGATTTCTGGTTTTTGTTAACAAGCTGAACATACATTGTATATTTGTATAAGTATGTGTATGTATGGGTACGACTGTAAATTGCAATTACATAATGTAATTTATTTTCAATACGCAGACGTAAAGCTTGCCGGTTTTATACAAAAAAAAATATCCCCTACCAGATTTATGTTATGGGAAATGTACCAAAAGCAACAACAAAAACAACAACGACGTCGATGTCGACGACGACTGGGTAAACAACACCAGTTGCCCTTGCAACTTTTTTTCCAACACTTCGATGAAGCAACAAACCGACGAACAAATGATTTGTTGATCAGGCAATGACGTTTCGAACAAACCAACGATCAATTGATCGATCGGAACGAACAATCAATTGATCAATTTTGACAAAAGCCGGCTTTTGCAATCGGAATAATGACTGGCAGTAATGTACACACACACTCACACACACACACATCGACACATAAATTGATTAACTAAATCCCCCGTAACATAATTATGATTTTATTAATCGATTTTCTTCACCTCTTGACAGACAACATGAAACTCTTCGTTGCCGTCATTGCCCTCGCCTCCATGGCCATCTTGGCTGTCTCTGCCGAAGATAAATACACCACCAAATACGATAACGTAGATGTCGATGAAATTTTGAAATCCGATCGTCTATTCAAAAATTACTACAATTGCCTGATCGATCAGGGCAAATGTACCCCAGATGCCCGTGAACTGAAGAAGTCGCTGCCCGATGCCCTGAAAACCGAATGCTCCAAGTGCAGTGAGAAACAACGTCAAAATTCCGATAAGGTCTTGCGTTACATCATCGACAACAAACCCGAAGAATGGAAGGTGTTGCAGGCTAAATACGATCCCGAACAGACCTATTACAACAAATACAAGATTGAGGCCGAGAAGCGTGGCATTAAAATCTAAATTATTTCCCGCACCACACCACACCACACCGCACCCCACACCTTTTTTAAAATCATTCAATAATTTATTTCCCCACCCTGAAAACGGAAGTATTTTTCACGCATCCTATTGAAATTTTCAAATTGATTTGAAAGTCGTTTTTGATCATCGTCATCAGCTGTGAATTTAGGGCACTTCTTCCCGCCTTCCTTCCCTTTCTCTGTACTTTTTTTTAGTTTTTAGTTGACCAATTATTATTTTTTTTTTAATTTAAAACAAATTCCAAAATTGGCTGTTATAAAAAAAGAAATAAATATTTTTTTATAAAAAATAATAAAAATTTGGTTTGATTTTTTTAAATATTTTTCAGTTATTTTTCTCTAACTCTGGCGGAAAATATTTAAAAAATTTTATTTGGGATAGATTTCGGGACGTGGAATTTTTAAAAACAAGGTCCTATCAAAGCCGTAGATTTTATAAAAATATTTCTTCGATGTCCTATCAAAGGCGTGGATTTTTAAAAATATATTTTCGATCACCAAAGCCTTTGTTTTCTTTAAAATATTTTTCCACTGTCTATCATAGCCTCTGATTTTTTCAAAATATCGCGCTATCAAAGGCGTTGAGCTTTCTAAAACATTTTTTCGAGGTCCTATCAAAGGCGTGGATTTTTAAAAGTTATTTTTTCGAGGCGTGAATTTTTTTAAAAATATGTTTTCGAGGCGTGAATTTTTTTAAAATATGTTTTCGAGGCGTTGATTTTTTAAAAATATTTTTTCGAGGCCAAAGACCGCCATAAATTAATCCGTGGTACGATCAGGAGTGTCGTAATGCTACTGATATGAAAAACGCAGCGTATAGGGCAACTCTGCGGACAGTAGCAGCACGTAATGTGATGGAGAACTATCGGGAGAAAAGGAGAGAGGAGAAACGTATTTTCTGAAAAAAAGAAAGAACAAGAAAAACGTGAGCGTGAGCGTGAGCAAATGGAAGTGTACAGGAATCAGAATGAAGCCCGAAAATTCTACCAACGAGTAAAACACCAAACCGTAGGCTTTGGTGCAGGCACATCCTCCTGTAGAGATGAAGAAGGAAATCTGGTGACAGATACAGACAGCGTGCTGAGGATCTGGAAGGAGCATTTTGAAAAACTTCTGATATGAAATAGTAGCGGTGAAGGGGATATTCCAGAACCAATAAGAAATGAAGGTATACCACCTAACCAAGATGAGGTCAGAATAGTAATTAATCGGTTGAAGAATAATAAAGCAGCAGGAGCCGATGGGCTACCAGCCGAACTATTCAAGACTGGTGGTCAGATGCTGGTTAGGAGCATGTACCAGCTGATTAGTTCAATTTGGCTAGAAGAATGCATGCCCAATGATTGGATCCTCAGCATTCTGCGTCCCGTGCATAAAACAGGAGACAAGACGATATGTGTCAACTATAGAGGAATTAGCCTTCTTCCCATCGCATATAAAGTCCTATGCAGCATACTGTGTGAACGACAGAAGCCAATGGTCAATGACATTATTGGACCATACCAATGCGGCTTCAGACCTGGCAAATCCACCATTGACCAGATTTTCACTTTGCGCCAAATCCTAGAAAAAACCCACGAAAAACATATCGACACATTCCACCTATTCGTCGACTATATGGCCACATTCGACAGCCCTATCCTTTCAGAGGTGTTTAAAGTCATGTCTGCGTTTGGCATTCCTGCAAAATTAATTTGGGTATGCAGGATAACATTAACTGGCACACGATCAGCAGTTAAAATCTGAATGGACCTCTCGGAACCCTTTAATACCGAACGAGGATTCAGACAAGGTGACAGTTTGTCGTGTGACCTTTTTAACATCCTGCTGGAAAAGGTCATACGAGAGGCAAAAGTGAACAGAAATGACACTCTGTACACCAAACACCAACTACACCAAGACATAATGGATCGAACACTGAGAGCGGTAACAGCCACCTTTGAACAAATTGAAAAGGAGTCTGCCAAAGTGGGTCTGGCAGTAAACGGCGAGAAAACCAAGCTAATGGTATCAACGCGCAAGACGTCCAGTAGACTCGGGCGAACTGTGGAACTTGACAACTACAGCTTCGAGGTAGTCAAAGATTTTATATACCTTGGTAGCGCCATAAACAAAACGAATGACATCAGTTTTGAAATTCGGAGAATGATAGTAATAGCCAACAGATGGCACTATAGTCTGAGCAAACAACTCAAAAGCAAGGCCACCTCCCGCCAGACCAAACTCACACTCTTCAAGACGCTGATACTACCCGTGCTGTTATATGGATCTGAAGCAAGGGTACTTGTGCAAGCAGATGAAGCAGCTCTTGGAGTGTTTGAGAGAAAAATTTTCCGAAAGATCTATGGTCCGATCTGCGTTGACGGTGAATATCGCCGTCGATTGAACCATGAGTTGTACCAGCTATCCTCTGACATCGACATTGTTAGACATATTGAGCTGCAGCTACTACGTTGGCTAGGTCATGTTGTGAGAATGTATGAAAATGCCCCAGCCCAGAAGGCATATAAAAGTGAACCAGCTGATGGTTCACGCAGAAGGGGAAGGCCAGGAATACGATGGAAAGATCAAGCCGATGACAACATTGCGGAAAATGGTTTTTCAATTTGGAAAAACTGCGCAAAAGACCGACGCGCCTGGAAATCTTTTCTAAGCTCGGCTTATGGAATGAAAGTTCTGTGAGTTCGAGGTCCTATCAAGCCTAACCCAAGGCGTGGATTTTTTAAAAATATTTTTTCAAGCGTAACCCAAGGCGTTGATTTTTAAAAAAAATTTTTTTAAGCCTAACCCATGGCGTGGATTTTTTAAAAATATTTTTTCAAGCCTAACCTAAGGCGTGGATTTTTTAAAAATAGTTTTTCATGCCTAACCCAAGGCTTGGATTTTTTAAAAATATTTTTTCAATGTCCTATCAAAGGCATGATTTTTTTTTAATTTTTCTAAAGTCCTCTCTTGAATTTGTTATAAAAATTTTTTTTGAACCTAAACTTTCGGGGATTTTTTTAATTAGCTTTTGTAATTTTTTAAATATTTTGTTAAACTTCATTTATTCATTTTTCTATTAAAATTATTATGACTCATCATTATTATGAATCAAAAAGTAATGAAACCTGTTTCATCTCAGAGAGTCAGAGACCCTTCTTACGAACGTAAGAAATTTTCAAATTCGAACATTTTCGTTTTAGAATATTAATCAGGTTTGCAAATGACGTTAATAAAAAATCAAATGCATTTGCATTCTGCTGAAGATTTAACATATAAAATGATGGGCAATTGAGATTTCAAATTAGTCTTCTACCTATAAGCATTCTAGCAAGGTGAATAAAATTAAAAACAAAGAATTTTAAAACAAATATTCGGAAATAAAAAAATAAAAATTTTGTGAAAAAAAAAATTAAAAAAAAAAATTATCAAAATGAAATACATCTACCTTGCCTATATTGTTGCTGCCTACATGATTGTTGCCACCACGGCCCAGGGAACCTACACCACCAAATATGACAATGTCAACATCGATGAAATCTTGAAATCGGATCGTCTGCTTAACAATTATTTCAAATGTCTCATGGACAAGGGTAGCTGTACTCCAGAAGCTCAAGAGTTGAAACGTGCCGTACCGGATGCCCTGCAAACGGAATGCAGCAAATGCAGTGAAAAACAGAAGCAGGCCATTCATAAGGTGGCCAATTTCCTTATCGATAACAAGCCGGAACAGTGGAAGCAATTGCAGGCTAAATATGATCCCAATAATGTGTATTTCAATAAATATAGAAATCATTTGTAAATGTTTGGAGCAAAGTGAGAGAGAGAGAGAGAAATGTGTTGGAAATAATAATAATAAAAAAGTTTAAAAAAAAATTAATAATAAAAAAATCGGAAATGGAAAAAAATTGTCTTAATTACTTAGCTGGCTTGTGACAGAACTTTCATTCCATAAGCCGAGCTTAAAAAAGATTTCCAGGCGTGTCCGTCTTTTGTGCAGTTTTTCCAATTTGAAAGACCACATTTGGCAATGTTGGTCTTTCCATCGAGGTCTTCCCCTTCGTTCGTTTTTTATATGCCTTCTGGGCTGGGGCATCTTCATCCATTCGCACAACATGACCTAGCCAACGTCTAACAATGTCCGAGAATAGCTGGATACAACTCATGGTTCATTCGACGGCGATATTCACCGTCAACGCAGATCGACCCATAGAAGTTTCGGAAATTTGTTCTCTCAAACACTCCAAGAGCTGCCTCATCTGCTTGCGAAAGTACCCATGCTTCATATCCGTATAAGAGCACGGGTAGTGTCAGCGTCTTGTAGAGTGTGTGTTTGGTCTGGCGGGAGGTGGCCTTGCTTTTGAGTTGTTTGCTCAGACTTCTACTATGGCCTGAGCAAACAACTCAAAAGCAAGGCCTTCACAATCCTTCTCCGAATTTCAAAACTGATGTCATTCGCTTTATTAATGGCGGTGCCAAGGTATATAAAATCTTTGACTACCTCGTTCCACAGTTGGTCCGAGTCTACTGGACGTTTTGCGCGTTGATACCATCAGCTTGGTCTTCTCGCCATTTACTGCCAGACCCACTTTGGCAGACTCCTTCTCAATTTGTTCAAAGGTGGCTGTTATCGCTCTCAATGTTCAACCCATTATTCCGATGTAAACGGCGTAGGCGAGTAACATGTGTTATTGGTGTACAGAGTGCCATTTCTGTTTACCTTTGCCTCTCGTATGACCTTTTCCAGCAGGATGTTAAAAAGATCACACGACAAACTTTCACCTTGTCTGAATCCTGGTTCGGTATTAAAGGGCTCCGAGATGTTCTTTCCGACTTTAACTGCTGATCTTGTGCCAGTTAAAGTTATCCTGCATAGCCTAACTAATTTTGCAGGAATGCCAAACGCAGACATGGCTTTAAACACCTCTGAACGGATAGGGCTGTCGAATGCGGCTTTATAGCCGACGAATAGGTGGTATGTGTCGATGTGTTTTTCGTGGGTTTTTTCCAGGATTTGGCGCAGAGTAAAAATCTGATCAATGGTGGATTTGTCAGGTCTGAAGCCGCATTGGTATGGTTCAATAATGTCATTGACCATTTGCTTCAGTCGTTCACACAATACGCTGGATAGCACTTTATATGCGATAGTTGGCACATACAGTCTTGTCTCCTTTTTTGTGCACGGGACACAGGATGCTGAGTTTCCAACCATTGACATGCATTCTGTCTTGCCAAAATGTAAAAATCAGCTGGGGGATGTGCCTGCACCAAAGCCTTCGGTTTGGTGTTTTACCGTTGGTAAAATTTTTGAATTGTTCTGACTCCTGTACATCTCGATTTGCTCACGCTCACGTTTTTCTTCTTCAGCCTTGATTTCTGAAAATAAGTTTCTCTCTCTCTCTCCTAGGTGGTATAATTCTCCATCGCATTTGTTGTTCTGTCCGCAGGGTATCCTCTTCACTGCCATGGGTATTTGAAGAAGCTTTTCAAAATGTTGCTTTTGCTGCACTTTGTAGCAGCTGTCTGTTCTTTGCCAGGATTCCTTCTTTATCTCTACAGAAGGATGTGCCTGCACCAAAGCAGTTGGGTAAGTTTTAGCCCGTTGGTAGAATTTTCGGCTGCCTGTTGTGTTATCAGCTTTTCACGCGTCACGTTTTTCGTGTTCATTGGATCACTTTTGGCTGCCAAAATACGTTTCTCCTCTCTCTCGGACTTTTCTAAAACACTGGATGAATGCCTTCTCCATCACACATTACAATTTGATTTCTCTGTCTGCAGGGTTGCCCTATACGCTGCATTTGTATATCGAGAGCTTGAATCTGGTGCTGGATTTCCATGGTTTCTTTGCTACCGCGAAGTGTTGCTTTTGCTGCTGATGTTTGTATGAAGGCTGAATTTTGCCACTGTGCTGAATATTTTCCCTTTCGATTTTTGCATTAAAATCTCCTAGCAGAATTTTAATGTCATGGCCAGGGCAACGGTCATATGCGGTTTCTAGGCGCTTGTAAAAAATGTCTTTTGGTCTGCTCATCTTCGTCTTCCGTCGGAGCATGGGCGCAAATAAAACTGATGTAGAAGAACATCGCTTTTATACGGATTATAGCATTTCGCTCATCTACTGAAGTGAATCTGGAGACGAGGTCTTTTATTCTCCTGTTAACCATAAAACCGCAGCCAAATTCACGTCTCGTTTCATGGTAGCTATAATACATGGCGTAATCGTCTGATTTACTTACGCCAGTCCCTTTCCATCGTATTTCCTGTAAGGCAATAATATCGACTTTGTAGTTCTTGAGTACATCCGCCAAAGCGAACACTGCGCCGCCTGTTCTGCACAACGTGCGCACATTCCAAGTGCAGATTCGCAGATCGTGGTCCTTTATACATTTGCGGGGGTCGTCAACATTGGGGTGGAGGGGGGTGGGTTGATTTTCTTTTTCGTTGCTTTTTCATAGTAGGAGGTGTTTTCCGAGTGTGGGCAACTAACCCGACGCCTCAACCCATTTTTTTACAGTTCTTATGGGTGAATTCGCGGCACATATTAGCTCACTATTTCAATGGATGATAAAAATAGTTACCCCAGGTGACACTGCGGGGAGCTCAGTGTCCACAATTGAGTTGAAAGAGAGACAAAAATAAGCCTGGTCCCTTCCCCATGTTAAAGCCAATCAGAGCCGTTGCTCTGGCCTATGCCACCACTCCTATATAAGGACCTCCGAAAAACAATTCTAAGAAATTCACGCTTTTCATAGGACTTCGAAAAAAATATTTTTTTAAAAATCCATGCCTATGATGGGACCTCAAATTTTTTTTTTTAATCCACTCCTATGACCATGTTAGGACCTCGAAATAATATTTTTAAAAAATCCTCGCCTATGTTGGGACTTTAAAAACTTCAGGCCTAAAAAATACCTCAGAAAACATATTTAAAAAATCCACGCTATTAGGGTGCAAGAAACCCTATTTTTGAATCGAGGCCTATATTAGGGTGCTTGAAAAAATATTTGTAAAAAATCGCCACTATTTTAGAGCTTTAAAAAATATTTAAAAAAAATCATATTTTTAAAGTATTTTAAAATATCATAATTTTATTGATTAAAATCAAATGTGAAAAATCGAAAAAAATATAAAATGATTGAACACAAAACTTATTGCAAATAAAGGCCTCTCATCCTCTTCCTGCTGCAGCTTACAAATGTTTCTTGTATTTGCCATAGTAAACATTATCGGGATCGTATTTGGCCTGCAATTGTTTCCACTGCTCCGGCTTGTTGTCGATCAAAAAGTGGGCCACCTTATCGACAGCTTTCTTTTGCTTGTCACTGCATTTGCTGCATTCCGTCTTCAGGGCATCGGGTATGGCTTTTTTCAATTCTGCACCCTCTGGCGTGCAGCTGCCCTTGTCCATCAAACAATTCAGATAATTATTCAAAAGACGTTCCGATTTCAAAATATTATCAACATCGATGTTGTCATATTTCGTGGTGTACTTATCACCGGCAGCGATGCTGACAATCAGGAAGGCAGCAATGACAAAGGCAACGGTAAGGAATTTCATGTTTGATGGAGCTGTAAATCAAACACACACAAAAAATCAGGATAAACAGGAAGTTATTTTTGTGTTTTTTGCGGAACACTTTTTATCCTTTTTTGGAGAGTTACAGATTTTTATTTAATTTTTTTTATTGCTGTTGTTTTTGTTTTTTTTTTTATGTTCACACTCACTTTATTTGATGTTCGCTAATGTTGTTGTTTTTAATAAACACTTGCTACTAATTGTAGAACAATTTTCACGCCTCCCATTTATATCGGAATTCTAGCCGATTTCGAACAAAGCCAACCGCATTTCATTGTCATTTGGCGAAACTTGATTTCTCAATTCGCTGCAACTGTTGCAAAGTAGTTAACTAATCCAAATAGGTTGTTAGGCCTATATCACTTTTCGCAATGCAGGTTTTTTTCTTTTCACCTCTAAAAAAATCTGAAAAATAAAATTTAATATTTTTTTCTTTCAAATAAATGGAAAATTTCCATATTAATTGTTTATGGCAGGGGCGTAGCTAGTCCTATTTTTTGAATAAGGATAAAGGTTCTAAGAGAAATACTTAAAGCTCGAGAAATTATAAAATATTTGAAACCTCCGAAAATTGAAAGAGGGGTTGGGCTCCCCCCAGCAGACCCCCTTCTACGACCCTGTTTTTTAATTATGATTAAGTACATATAATATGCACAACCAACCAACAAACATGCTTAAACATTATTAGACTGTCAATCTAAATGAAGATAATACTGAGATGCCATAATCCGATACATTTGTTTAAGGTCAGTTTAGAAATTTATGAGCCGGACAATGACTTGAAAATTGAATTAGGTCCTCGAAAATATATTAAAAAACGAGTAAGGAAAGTAGTAAAGTCGCACGGAACCGACTGTATATGATACCCTTCACCACTTTGGGTATATTTGACAGATGATTCCTAACAGACGTTGCATTTTTGAAGGACCCATATAATGAAATTGGATCCATAAACATGTCATTCTGCAACCGATACTATATTTTTCAATTGGTCAGATATAGAAGCTATATCTAAATCTGAACCGATTTCAGGAAACTTAACATACATCATTCTAGAACTGTGCCAAATATCGTGCAAATCGAAAGATATCTACATTAAATCGGACGGAAATATATATGTGGGCTATATCTAAATCTGAACCGATTTTCACGAAACTTAACACACATCATTCTAGACCTAATACACTGTGCCAAATTTCGTGCAAATCGAAAGATATATAGGGACTTTGGTGCAACATCTACATTAAATCGGATGAAAATATATATGGGAGCCGATTTTCACGAAACTTAACACACATCATTCTAGACCTAATTCATTACACTGTGCCAATTTTCGTGCAAATCGAAAGATATATAGGGACTTTGGTGCAACATCTACATTAAATCGGATGAAAATATATATGGGAGCTATATCTAAATCTGAACCGATTTTCATGAAACTTAGCACACATCATTCTAGAACTAATTCATTACGCTGTGCCAAATTTCGTGCAAACCAAAAAATATAAAGGGACTTTGGTGAACCATCTAAATTAAATCGGATAGAAATATATATGGGAGCTATATCTAAATCTGAACCGATTTTCACGAAACTTAGCACACATTATTCTAGACCTAATTCATTACGCTGTGCAAAATTTCGTCCAAATCGAAATGTATATAGGGACTTTGGTGCACCATTTACATTAAATCGGACGAAAATATATATGGGAGCTATATTTAAATCTGAACCGATTTTTCCCAATTTCAATAGGGTTTGTCCTTGGGCCAAAAAATCCAAGCCTTGAAAAAATATTTTTTAAAAAATCCGAGCCTTGAAAAAATATTTTTTCAAAAATCCACGTCTGCGATAGGCCCAAAAAATATTTTTTCAAAAATCCACGCCTTTGAAAAAATATTTTTAAAAAATCCACGTCTTTGAAAAAATGTTTTAAAAAAATTCACGTCTTTGAAAAAATATTTTTAAAAAAATCCACGCCTTTGAAAAAATATTTTTCAAAAATCCACGCCTTGAAAAAATATTTTTCAAAAATCCACGCCTTGAAAAAATATTTTTCAAAAATCCACGCCTTGAAAAAATGTTTTTCAAAAATCCACGCCTTGAAAAAATTTTTATAAAAATTCCACTCCATGAAAAAATATTTCTTTTAAAAAATCCACGCCTTTGAAATTTTGTTTTTTAAAAAATCCACGCCTTGAATAGATTTTTATAAAAAATCCACGCCTTTGAAATTTTTTTTTTAAAAAATCCACGCCTTGAATAGATTTTTATAAAAAATCCACTCCATGAAAAAATATTTTTTTAAAAAATCCACGCCTTTGAAAATTTTTTTTAAAAAATCCACGCCTTGAATAAATTTTTATAAAAAATCCACTCCATGAAAAAATATTTTTTTAAACAATCCACGCCTTTGAAAATTTTTTTTAAAAATCCACGCTTTGAAATTTGTTTTAAAAAATCCACACATTGAAATTTTTTTTTAAAAATCCACGCTTTGAATTTTTTTTTTAAATCCACGCCTTGAAAAAAATTTTAAAAATATTTTTTCGACGCTTTGAATTTTTTTTTAAATCCACGCCTTGAAAAAATTTTAAAATATTTTTCGACGCTTTGAAATTTTTTTTTTTTAAAAATCCACGCCTTGAATTTTTTTTTTAAATCCATGCCTTTGAAAAAATATATTTTCAAAAATCCACGCCTTGAAAAAAATTTTTTTTTAAATCCATGCCTTTGAAAAAATATTTATAAAAAATCCACGCCTTTGAAAAAATATTTTTTTCAAAAATCCACGGCTTGAAAAAATATTTTTTCATTTTTTTTTTTTTTTGATGTCTTGATATTATTTGAATTTTTTATATTTCCCCATTGAAAATTAAAAAATTACATTTTTGTTATTTTGTACAAAAATATGGCCTTTATTTTTTTGTTGTTGTTTGTTTGTTTTGTAAACTTAACATAGAATATAAAAAAAGTATAAAAAACGAATGGCACTATAACTACGAAGTAAACGCACGGGGATATGTACTTTTGTAATAATAGTAATTAATTAGGATGATGATACAGATTCTTTCAAATTCATTTTTTCAAAATTTCACCGACTACATTTCTCTATAATTTCTGACAATTTTTATTTTTATTTTTTTGTGAAATTTCTGTTTGCCAGACTCCCTCCAAGGTAAGGCGAACAAAACGCAATTAGGCAGTTGTTTTGAATTGAATTTTTTGGAGGGGGTTTTTACATTGTAATAGGGGGGTTTCCGTCGGCAGCGGGGGAATAATTTCATAATATATATAATTCATCGCTCGCTCTCTCGCTCGATCTCTCTTCCGTTCTCTTCGACTATGTCTATGGATGATCATCTAACGCTACTAAAATCTAAGTGTGTGGAACAGCTACTAAAACTTAAATGCGAATGTTGGTTTTTGATTTGTATTTGTTGTTGTTGTTCTCTTTTTGTGATTACAACAAATCACGTCTGCTGTTGCTGCAGCTGAGATAAACTTGCCGTTGACATGTCACCATTTTGTAGGGCACGCAATTCAGCCGTAAGAATTTTCTCGTTTTTCATTTGATTCGCTTCACGTCTTCGGGCCAAATAATAGAAACTCGCCACAATTAAACTAAACGATACGATGCTCATTAGAAGGGTTCCATATTTGAGAATATATTCGATGAGATTGAGACCGAAGGTACTGGCATACAAAGTATCGAGAATTTCCGGTGTAAAATCTCCCGAAGTGATTTCAATCCATATCAGGGGTAAGATGGCACCATCATCCAAGCGTCGTACCAAGCCTGTAATGAAACAACAAAAAATCGATATTAATTAATGAATTTCAAATGAAATCAAAAGTTATGTAATTTTTTCTCCGACTCGAGGTGAAGATTGATGAGTTAGCATTTATTGGTTTATTTTCCCCTGAGGGTAGATTTTTTTCGTTGCATGAAATTTGGTTTTAATACGTGGTTTTCATTAAGGCAGATTATAAAACCTAAGGCTTCACAGATGATAAAAAGAAATGAATATTTTTTTAATATTGTTTCAACACCCTAACGTAGATGTGGATTTTAAAAAAATATTTGTTAAGGTCTAGTCATTTTTTTTTCAAAATCATTTTCAACACCCTAACCTAGGAGTGGATTACTAAAAATATTTTTCCAAAGAGCTTTCTAAGGATTGGATTTTTTAAACATATTTTTTCAAGGGGCTACATTAGGCGTGGGTTTTTTACAACTTTTTTCCTTAAAAAATCTTATTTTATAGCCCTAATGGCTCCTGCAAAAATTCATTACATAATAACCAGAGAAACCGTTAATATTCCACACACCCATGCCCGAACGTACATACATATCCCAATGTAAGTATGTCTGTGTGCCGCTTATTAGTAAACAATTGTCTTAATATGTTAAATCAACATTTGTTTCCTCTACGCTCTTTTAAATATTCATTGAAAAATCACACACACCCACCTCGACAATTCACCTTCCCCCCCTTACTCACCTTTCACCAGATCCCCCTTGTGCAGAGCCATATTAATTTGTATACGCGATGCACCGCTAATGGGAAATGCAAAACGTGGATGAACATCGGCAAATGTTTGATGCAATTCCTGTTTCGGCTCAATACCTTCAAAATCTTTATAGATAATCGGATCTCCAGAAAAGAAATGTGGAAATGAGGGATAAATTGGTGCATCATCATAACACCGGGTGGCATTAATGACCCCGCTGGGCATGCAACGCTTGGTATTCTGGCAATAACAGGCATTATCGGGATTCTCCTCAGGATTACCGAACACATTCAAGGGGGTGCGATAACGCAGTGCATCAATGTTATCGTAAATGGTCACCTCCTTTTCGAACAGCAAAGGGACTTTGCGACAGAAGACCTGCAGGAATACGCTCAACGGCTCACGAGTCTCCACGACGTGAGGCGGAAACATTGAGGGATCGGAACCATCAATGCGATTACACTCCTCA